CCGGGGACCTCTGGTAGCACTAGAACGCCGGTTCCTTTGATCTTGCTCGCTATATTGCGCATGGCAACAATTTCCTTTTCCATGGTAGCTTTTTCTCTCCGCATTTTCTTTGCCTCGACTTCCATTGCTTTGTTCAACATTTCAACTTTTTTCGCCAACATTTGAATAATTTCCATGTCAGACGACAGACATATTAGAGGGGGGGGGGGGGGGGGGGGGGGGGAGGAATTAAAATAACAAAAGATGCTGCACGAGACCTCAATTGCGTCATCTTTGTCCTTCAGGCTCTGATTTTTCTCATGGCAAGCTTTTTGTAGTATTATAACCTCTTTCTGCAGCATATCATACAGCACTCCAGAAACAGAGTCTTCGGTTTCACTTTTTGACTTTTCCTTTATAATACCAGCATGCCCGTTCTCGCATGGATTTATTACTCCATTATTTGGGGTCTCTTTGTCATAGACAGCTGCACTTTCTTTCTCATTTGTACCGTCACTATCAAATGAACTGGAGAAATTCTTTGTCTGGTTGAACAATGAACCAGCACTAGTAATCCGGGGCGACCCCGATAAGTTTACTTTTCTGGATAGAAGTCCGTTTAAGGATGGCCTAGACAAGTTTTCTGATCCTCCGTGTGACTGTCTACGAGAATTCCCATTGGTCATACTTCTTCCTTGTGATGAAGAACGATTTAAACTATTTGGACACCCTTTAAGTCTTTCCTCCAAAACTTTAAAACGCAACTGGTATTTTTCCTGATATTATATGAATAGAATCAAGATCATATTCATATTGGCAACAATGGAAGTAGAAAGAACAAGAATCGTATATATCCTCACCTTCAGTTGTGCTTCTGCCTTAGCAGCACGATCTGCAATCGCCAGTTTATCTTTCAGCTGTTGCATTTCTCCCTGTGTCGACAAAATTGTAACCCAAATCAGATAATATGTTATTCTAGACTACTGTGAAGTGTAAAATTTATTATCTTCTTTCCTAGATACTGAAATAAGAAATCAGCTAGGAAATAACATGAATAACTTGTTCAGCATTATTAAAGTACTTTGACTGCAGTAAATTGTTTCGGAATCCAATTATTAACCACGATCCTTAAAATTGTATTAAGTGCCATATATTTACAATTGGGAAATTAAGAACCTGGTAGAATTTTCTTTCTTCAAGCCATTGCTTTACTGGCATGACTTTGTCATTTGCATCTTTCCAATCATTTGCAACAACAACAGCTACACGATTTGCAGATACCTTGGCACGAGCTAGTTCACGGTCTAAAACTCTTTTTTCTTCCTGCTCGAACTTTTGCAATTAGCAACCCCTCAAGGAATACACACAGTTTATGTAAATTAAAAAAATTGAAGACCAGGGTGTTTTTAGTCATTTTACATTGATTTCTTGCACTTTTCTCTGATAATCTCGAACAGCATTAGCTGCAGCACCCCCAGCCAAAACAGCTTCCTCGAGCTCACGAACAGTTTGTGTAAGCTTTTCAACCTCAGAAACCTTTTGTCTATGCATTTTGTCCAATATTCTATTCTCTTCCTGACATTAATTCACAAGTGTTCTATCAAAAATCTACACATCTAGATCAGAACTCGACAATTACTTTACTTGATTTCATATGTACATGTAATGCAGTCAAACCTGGCATATCTCAATCTGTTTTCCCAGCTCTTGGTTTTTATTCTGCAAGTCATCAACCAAGGATGCCTTTGCTAGAGCTATCTGAACTGTACGCTCTGCTTCCAAGAGAGCAGCCTCTTTAGATTTAGTGAGTCGGTCAAGTGCTCTGTTATCTTCCTGTAGCTTCGCTACCTAACAAATGCAATAAAAACTTTTATCACTCAAATCTCGGGACAGTTAAAAAAGTCTCTATGAACTTAGGTTTAGGATAATGATTGCTGAAGAAATTCAATGCGGTAAAGTTGAGCACCTCCATTCTTGTCAGCTTTAATTCGGCCTCTAAAGGTGTGATGATTGCCTCGATTGGAGGCATCTCATCATCTTTCTGTGCAGCATGCACCCTTCGAAGTGTTGCTTCTGCAGCAAATTGTGCAGCCATTGCAGCTTTTTTCTCCTCATTTATTTTCTTAATATCTAGTTTCTGAAATTCCAAGAGATAGTGTAACCTTAGATTCAAAATAATAAATATTTAAATTTTCGGACTTCTCATTTTCTTCTCTTCTTCAAACATACAATGGATAATATGAGCAGGAAACTAGGAAAAAAGAAAAGAAAAAATAAAAATAAAAATAAATCAAATCTTGCAAATTAAGAAAATCAGAACATACCTTGACTTCAAGTTGAGATTCCGTCGCTTTTAACTTGTCATCTACTTTCTTCAGCTCATCAGTAAGCTAACATGAGCATAATATAAGGAGCAGTCAGATAAAGGAAATCCGCTTTCAGTAATTGGTACAGTGTACTTATTCAGATTAATGTCTAATAAAGCAGCCATTTACAAACTCGCCAACTAACTTTCACAAAATTTGTCCACAGCATATGAACACTCAATACATTATGCTCAGATTAATGTCTCATTAAATGGCCTTTATCTAATAATTTATCCAATGATTTTTCCAGCATTTGTTCGTACCATAATTAAAGTAATGAATTATTTTACTTTACCGTCTTCAACTGCCTTCTC